GTGAGATGGAACTTTAAAAACAGAACTGTGAACGCGGTTTGGGAGACCCGAGATGCACTACTTCAGTGTATGAAGCATATACGCGCACAACCAGGATGGGATGCGGTCACCATAAGTGAGGCATACGGCCTGTCAAAGAAACTGCGGGACCGAGCATTTATGCAGCTCCTGGAGTTTTTTTTCGTTGCTTATGCCAGAAGTGGATGTTCTATACAACACTCTGCAAAAACGAAGCATCGATGCACCTGGGATCAACAGCGCGCTCTGCCGTTTCAAGGAAAATGTTCAGAAAATGAGGCAGAAAACTGATGCATTGGCCGCCACTGCTCATGATGGAACAGACGAGCCAGGCCGACGAGTCAGCAGCACAGCGCCGGTGATGAAGGAGGCTTGTGACACAGTCATCTCACAGGTGGAACAGAGGTTCTCACAGAGTGACCATTTGATCGCTGCAAAGCTTGTTGACAGCTCATTCTTCCCACAGCATGTCCTGTCATTTCCTACACCTGAGCTTGACTGCGCCGTGAAACTGTGGCCTGCGTTGGGAAACAAGGAGAAGTTGAAGTCTGAGCTGACCACGCTCTACCGCCACAGTGAGCTTCACACTGGAAACACTGCCCTGTCTCTGTTGAAATCCATTCACGAGAACAACTTGGAGGAAACGTTTGCTGAGACTGTTATTTTGGTCAAAATAATAGTGACAACTCCGATGACGACATCCGAGTCAGAGAGCAACTTTTCCACCCTCAAAAGGATAAAGACTTTCACTCGCAACACCATGGGACAGCCGCGACTTAACGCATTGGCCATGCTTTCAATTGAAAGCCAGTTGATCCAGCAACTACAGGACTTCATCCCCAAAGTGATAGACACATTCTGTCAGAGGAAGGACCGCCGTGCCGCTTTTCTTTTCAAGTGAGCCTTCAGCTTTGGTAAGTTCATTTATGTCATATATTTTGTTGATCTTCTGTGTTTTGCCTCTGCTGGATCGATTGATATTGTGACCTCGATGGTGAGTGTCTGTGTTTTCCTTATATTTACAGTCTATGGTGTTTTAATGCTAAAGCATTACGGTTGTTGTTATTGTTAAGAATTACTTTGTGATGGTGACCTTTACTCCATGTATGAAGGTGCATTACTATGACATCCCCACGCTGTGTACGTAAATGTATGCGCTCACAGTGTTGCTCCTGTGGTCTTCAGTATGTAATTTGACACTCCCCCTCTCTCTCTCCTCCCCCCCTCTCTCTGTCCCCCCTCTCTCTCTCCTCCCTCTCTCTGCCCCCCCCCCCCTCTCTCTCTCTCTCTCCCCCGACCTCTTTCTGCCCCCCCAGTTTTGTACACCTAGAAACGCCACTGGTCCCAGCTGCCTTCAAACATGCCGTGGTCAAGCCACTACTTAAAAGGAAAAATCTCGACCCCTCCATTCTCGCAAATGTTAGGCCCATCGCCCAGCTACCTTTTTTATCTAAAGTCCTGGAGCGAGTAGTCTACGCCCAGCTGCAGTCTTTCTTAACCACCAGTGGTGACTGGTCATTAGGGGCAGGTGCCCCACCTAGTGTCAGCAGAAAGTATTAAAAATAATGATTACAACAAAATGCAAAAAATAAATTAAAAAATATATAAAATATATTTTAAGATCATGTTTAATCATCTGATTTGTCTGTGCATTGCTGTTTTAGTCTATGTTCTTCTAATTAGTGTCTATAGTGTGTGCCTATTGAGCTGTTTAGAGCCATGTGGGACAAAACCCGATCATGCCCCTCCCTCTCACTGTCTAACTGAATGGTGACTGTAAAAACTACACTGCGCATGCTCAGAGTATTTTCCTATTTAATGTGTGTGGCAAAAAAATAATGACCTTAGGGGCACTGAGCTGCCATCCCCACCATACGTCATCTCACATAATTCAGAGCTGATTGGCTGTAAGTACGTGTGCCGCGAAAAGTGTGGTGTGCGAAGAGGAGACGAGAGATGCGTCCTAAAACCCAGAAGTAAGCTGCACATGGGTTCCCTCCACAAAAAAGCAATGAGATTTCTCCATAGGATTTTAGAAAATAGCTCAAAATAAGATCTGTGGGAAACGTACCTGTTAGATAAATGCACGTTTTGTTCAGCCGGATAATATCCACATGTCTAACCTACTTTTATAATTTTTGAATCATAAAATCTATCGATTAGATTTATGATAGACTTTTGAAACTACAAGATGATAAGGAGGACTTTTACAAAAAAGTAATAGAGATTTTTGTCCAGAAGGATAGGCACATGGACTTCATCTTCAAGTCAAGGTAAGACCGCAATTTTATTGAAAATGGGATCTTACTAAGAGAGAACAATTCAATATTTAAATGATAAAATAAAAAATGTTGGGTATCCTTTTGTTGAACTGTCTGTTTAAAATTAATCGAAGCATCAGCCAAAAAAGCTTTTGAATATAATATTATATTTTGATTTAGGTCAATTAATAATAATTTGTAAACCTGAAGAGTCAGTGCCAGTGCCTCACCAGCCATGAACCTCACTGCAGAAGCTTATATATAGACATCTACGTTTTTTGTGCCCCACCACTTTTGTACATATAAAAACGCCACTGTTAACCACGCATGGAATCCATGAAAAGTTTCAGTCTGGCTTCAAACCCATGCACAGCACTGAAACAGCCCTTTTAAGAGTATTTAATGATCTGCTCCTAGCCGCTGACTCAGGTAGCCCAGCTGTCCTGCTGTTAGACCTGCCAGCTGCCTTTGACACTGTGGACCAGCATCCTGTTGTCACGGCTTGAACAGTCCGCTGGCATCACAGGCTCTGCACTTGCATGGTTCAGGTCCTACCTGACAGACTGTAGCTTCTCAGTGCAGTGCCTTCTCCTCTGCCAAACCCCTCTTACCTGTGGGGTTCCCCAAGGCTCTATTCTGAGCCCCATCCAATTTTTACTGCCCCTAGGTCAGAGTCCTGCATCGGGTCGGGTACCCGCGGGTACCCGACGGGTGACCCGCAAAAAAGGTGATTCGCGGGTGGTATTTTTTCAAACGCTTTTTTCCGGGTTCGGTTCTGGGTAAAACAAAGATGATGCGGGTCGGGTCGCGGGTATTGCATAATAAATATATTAAAATAATAATAAATTAGTTTAATGTTTAAAATCCTCAGACCTCTCCCCCGCGGGACCGCGCATAATCATAACCTCTGCAGCGCATCAATCTGCTGCTGTGCGCGCCACATTCGAAATGGCTGAGGTGAAGCTCTCTAGCGGAGAATACAGCATTTTCAATAACACTTCCTCAAGAGCGAAATCCAACGTCTGGGAGGCTTTTTGTGTCATCCTAGATGGAGGAAATAACCAACATCCCACGCTTTCTGAGACAAATATGAAACTGCGTGTGTTAATAATTGCACGTTTTCACTGCTCATAGGCTATGCGGGTTCGGGTCGGGTTGCGGATCTTGTGCCGACGGGTCGGGTCGGGTTGCGGAACTAATTGGCAATATGTGCGGGTAGCGGGGCGGGTTCGGTATTGCACGTCGCGGGTGCGGGGCGGGAGCGGGTCTTGAAAATCAGACCCGTGCAGGACTCTGCCCTAGGTTCAATTCTCACAAAACACAATATTCCCTTCCACTGCTACGCCGACGATGTACAGATCTATCTGCCTCTCAAAGCAAATGTCAAACACTCACTACAGCAGTTGATGGACTGCTTAACAGAGATAAAATCCTGGCTGAGCAAAAACGTTCTCAACCTCAACGAGAGCAAGGCTGAGGTCATCTTTTTTGGACCCCAACCTCCAGCCTCTCCGGTTGATATTCTGGGCTCTCTCAATAAAAACATCCTCCCCTCTGTCATGAACCTTGGAGTGACCTTCACTAGCACTTTTGAATTTGACAAGCAGGTCAGCACCGTAGTCAAATCCTGCTTTTTTAAAAAAATAAGATTATTGGCCAAAACCAAGTCGTATTTATCTTTTAAAGACTTAGAAAGGGTTATTAACGCTTTTGTAACATCGAGACTGGATTACTGCAACGCTCTACTTGGGTATGGACCAAGCCTCAATTAAACACCTGCAGCTAGTCCAAAACGCAACGGCACGTCTTCTGACTGGCCATAAAAAGTTTGACCACATCACCCCAATTCTGGCCTCACTACACTGGCTTCCAATTCGGTTCCGAATTGATTTTAAATCCTTTTATTTGTTTTTAAAGCACTAAATGGGCTGGCTCCTGCCTATGCTGAACTCCTCCAGCGCTACACCCCATCCAGAGCTTTAAGTCTGCTGACCAGTTGCTGCTGATAGTGCCCAAGACCAAGCTTAAAACCCGAGGGCACCGAGCCTTCGCCGCAGCTGGCCCTAGGCTCTGGAACGCTCTTCTCCCTGGCCTTCTAGTCAGAGCGGAGCACGACTCCTGACTTTTCCCTGTGTTTTTTATATATCTGTTGTAATTTATTGTCTTTTATTGTGATTGTAGTAATGTGTTTTTATTACATGTACAGCACTTTGGGTCGACCAAAAATCGCTTTTAAATGTGCTTTATAAATAAAACTTGATTTGAATTGATTTGAACCTTCAAATTGCTATTTTAAATCCAAATTGCTCTGCACACTTGCTAAAGAATATTTGTGTGGAAATCTCTGTTCATTTGTAGGCTGCGCGAGTATGGCCAAAAGTATGAGAGTAGATCTCACTGTAAACTATTTAATTATGACCGATTGTAACTCAGCATTATGCACACACATACATTTAGCATGGTTTAGGAAACGGGCTCCGTGTTACAAGACGGGTCGCGTCGTTTGGCGGCACCACCACAGACTCTCTGCAAACACACACACACACACACACTTCATTGCGGAGTTTCACCTGTTGTCTTGTTTTTACATTCTTTGTTGAATTCAGAAACCCAAGACTTGAGATGAAGAAAATTGTTAAATAATGGAATGGAAAAAAAATGTGATTATTAAAAAAACAGTATGCTGTGATTCTGATCTGGGAAACATTAAAGACATTCATAGCCAGTCTGCAGATGTGGTCTCTTTATTGAAATAGTAAACAGTAGTAAGTATACATGTTAACATTATAAAGAAATGAACAGTATAAAGAATGAATGGTATCTTTTATTACGTAAATATAAAGAATCAGATACTTCACAGAAACAAAAGATTAGAAGATCTGAGTAAAAGAAAGATCATATATGATGCTGTTACTTGTTGACAATAGCACTTTTATATTGAATGATCTTTTAAGTGAGTAATACATGTAAATATGTGATATCAGATTCTTAAATGACAGAAAAAAAAGTGGTTATAGATTTTGAACAAAGACAATTAAATGTCATACTGTAAGAAAAACCACCTGAAGGATAACCTACATGTTGACATTTAGACTGGAATATCTTTAAAACATAAAAAATGCAACAAAATAAATATTCACAAAAATAATACCATCTTTATATCAAAGGTAGGGTAGGTAAGTTTGAGAAACCGGTTCGAGATAAACTTTTTGTTATATTCCATGGAATGCTCTTAACATCCCGATAGCAATGAATATCTGAAGTGCTTTGACAAAAAATCCATAAAAAATATCATCTGTGGAAGCCGTAGCGCTGTAAAAAGCACGACCAATCATCTGAGCCGGCCCGGCTAAAATAACTGGATGGCCTACCTGCCTGTCAGCCTTTTGGTCATTGGTCATGTCATGTGCGCGTATTTTCAAATTCTAGTGATCTCGAGCCGGTTTCTCCAAAATGAACTACCTCACCTTTAACTTGATTCAAACTTGTTGTCATGTTTACATGCTGAATATGAACTAAATGATCCTTTCATTGATCTAAAAATGTTAAAAATGTGGCATTTGAAAATGAAAACTGGCATAATACATTTTTGAGTAAATATAACATGAACATAAAAATGTAAATATTTGGAGCCAGTGGCGGACCCCCGGTCGAGATGCCCGGGCTGATTTTTAGTCCCTGTTTGGAGCTAAATACTTAAATGGAATACAAAGAAAGACTTTCAGATTTTTGGTAAGGCAATGACATTTAGCACTCAAAAAGATAAGAAGAAACTGCATGTGTAATCTACATATTGACATTTAGATTGAATGATATGTTAAACATTGAATATGTAAATATATAAAGGAAACAAAATAAGAATAGATTCTAACTCTCTGGGAAACGGTCACATATCAAACTGAACTTGATTACAACAGACTTTCTGTCATGTTTACATGTTGACTGTACCACCACTAAAACACAATGATTCATTCACTGATTTAAACATCTAAATGTGTGGCTTTTGATGCAGCTCAGAAATGAAAAGACAACAATTATAAACGTGTCAATAAAAATGTAAATAATAAGAATCAGATACTTATTTGAAATAAAAATAAAGACATTGTATAATCTTCATGTTGACATAAAGACTGAATGATATTTTAAAACATTAAAATTGTTAAACCACAGAAAAACCTAAAAACAAATATTTGTGCATCAGTTACTTTAAGGAAATAAAAACACTCAAATCAAATCGAATTTGATTAATGTAAGGGAAACTTCTGCAGCAATGGAGAGTCAGGACTCAGAGAGACACGAGGAGAGTTGGAGCTTTGATGTCAAACACTGGTAGTTTATTACAAGTCAACGGCCGGAGAATTCATATCACAAGTCACAGCAGCAAAAGGTTCTGACTGCACGGGTGGGTTGTCATGTCAAATCTGATCAGCCTCGCATCTTGGTAGACCTTTTAACTAGTTTACAGAGAGTCAAATCCACATATTGGGGATGGGCGTAAACCATGGCGTAAACACATCTGCAGATACAGGAGATGTCTCTCCCATCTCTGGAGCTTAGAAACTAGCGCTCTCACACTCGCAAAACCTCCCTATGCCCTGTAGGTCAAGCTGTAAAACCTAGTATCAACATACGACTGCATCAACACATTCCTTACAGGAGATTAGAAGCAGGGATGGTCGTACATGTCAACACACAAAATAAAGTTAAATGTTTAGGAGTAAAGACAAAATGAATCCCTAACAATTAATTGATACTACAATAACAACCAAAGAAGTAGGATTCAAAGTCTGATTGAATCAAACTGAAACGTTTACAAATTCCTTGTAAGTTGTTGTTGAAATATTTGGTCAACCTTGCCATCTCATAAACAGCATGTTACTTTGTGTGCTTCTCTTCATATAAATCAAGTGTAATCTAAATGAGAGGATGCTGACTGTAATGAGGAGGACGTGACCCTCTGTGAGCACGAAGCTTGTAGTTTCTCATTTGATATGAAATGACTCTTTGAGGCTTGCCTCTGCTTGCTCTGGTGTGATTTCTTTCCAAGCGTCAGGAATATCAGCAGGCTTTGCATCGTATGCTGGTGCAAACTCATTATTGAACTTTGCCATTACATATTTCCAGTAGTCTGATGCCTGAAGGCTTGCATCTGCTTGGATTTTCCAGTCCGGATAGATTTCTTTGTAGCCCTTGTAAGGGTGCGATTGATCATTTGTATCCCTGCAGTGAAAAGTAATGTCACTGTTTACTAGGGAAGAGCATATGTCAATGCAAAGTTTTTTGGTATTACTCCATCTGTATTTACCCAGACCCTCTGGTCGATGAAGTGAAGCGAAGTGCTCAGTGTGGGCTGTTCCTCCTGCCTCACAGGGCGCTTTGCAGAACGGACACTGTTCACCACATCCAATCAGTGTGTTGAAAAGCTCGTCCTGAGGATTCACATGAAGGCTCTGTAGTTTAGTTTGGATGTCTGTTTTCTTAAACTTCTCTCTAAGAGTTTGTGCCATCTCCGTCACACACTCAGTGAGCCAGCGAGCAAACTGTTCCTGGTTGGCCTTGTTCAGGATCATGAATGCCCCAAGAGCATCCTGGGAAATGACCAGTTTGTCACCAAGTTCCTTACAGACAACTACAACAAATGACTTTAAGTTTCCACTCTTTTCTGTTTTAGCTTTCTGGATAGCATTATTTATGCTGTTGACACATGACTGGAGATGTTGTTCCTCAAACATCGTAGACCCATTTGAGAAGTGTCGCACTATTTTGTTGAATATCCATTCCTTTACATATTTCTCATAAGAGGAAATAAAGCTCTGGTACTTTTTAAAGTCACCCTTTGGGAGCAGATCCAGTAAAACTGAATACTGGAAGGACATTCTTGTGCTGAACTCTTCACTTGTCCTCATTTCACCAATGATATCAGGACCCAGGGAACGGTTGACAAAGTATTCGACTGCAGGCTTCAAGCAGAGGTCTGTGAATTCTCCTGCCTTCTTCTGGCACTGGTCTACGTTATGGAACACATCTTTGAAATCAGCAAGAAACTTTCCTTTGTTTTTTTTCAGACATATGTAGGGATCTTTTTCATGGAGGAAATCTTCATGCATCTTCTGAAACCTTCTGGCTGCGTCTCCACAGATGTGCTGTTTCAGAGAGACTTCAAAAGTGATGTCTGTTCCAACATTGTGATTGTTTTGCAGGCTCTCATCAATAGTTTTTAAAATCTCATCGATGTAGGTTTCATGGTAATCGCCTTTTCTTTGCACTTTGTCAGTTACAAACTGAGAGCAAACTTTTATGATGCCGGCAGCTATTTTTTGTACAGCCTTTGTGTGACTTGGTGCACTGAATAGGCTTTTCAACCACTCAATGGTTCCTTGAGGTTTATATTTAAAAATATCCTGTCCACATTCTTTCAGGCTTTTTTGACTCAACAAATCACTTACGTGACTTCCCTTGGTTGATAGATTTGTTCTCAGGCGGTGAGACACACTGGTGAAAATGTCCTCAACCTTCATTTTTGTAAAGGATAGTTCCTTCACTGTTTTAGTCCACATCTTTTCAAATTCTTTGTCCAGCTCTTTGTCTGTCATCTGGACTTTTTTCTTCCTACATTCTTCAATCAATACACAAACTCTACCCTCTAATTCCTTTGTGTGTTCTTCCTTGAGTTTATCAAGTTTCGCCATCCCCTTTCTGATTTCAGCTGCTGCTGTAAGTTTGCTTTTCACAGATATTTCCATTTCTTGTCGAAGGCTCTTTGCACTGTTTGCAAACTCCTGTCTGTATCCTTCAACAAGATAGACATGACCCAGTGTTTGTTTGAAGTACTGTTCCAGATTTCCAAGAAGCTTTGTTTCCCATTTAGACAACTCTGTCAAAGCTTCATTTTTCAATAGCATGATAAGTTCTATCATCTCAGATATGTTAGATTTATCAGCAGGTGTACCGAAGTTGGAGATTACTGTTTCAGCTTTTGTAACCCATGTGTACATTTCTTTTTTGAAGTCCCATTCCCATTTGTTGAATTCTTTGCACAGCCTCATGTATGCATCAGCCACGAGACTGTTTCTGAAGCTGAAGATGAAGTTTTCATGTTTTACTGCAGTCCACAGGCTCTTCATCCACTCTGTAAACTCCAAGATATTATTAGCAGATGATCCACAACTTCCCAAAATGTGGATGATGTTCTTCTTGAGCTCATAAACAGCCTCGCTGTAGCCTGCATTGACTGGTGCCATCGGTGGGTTTCCATTCCAAAGTCCAGGAATGTACCAGTTGCCTGTGTCTGGACTGTACTCCATCACATCAGTGAAGCTTGAGTACTCTTCTTTCTTTTCCATTTTGGCTGCTGCCTGGGTCATCTCGTTTAACTGCTGCAGGAGCAGTTTCCTGTCGCGCAAGTTCTTGTCATGGGCGGAAACATCCGACACATTCTGGTGAACAAACTGACATTTGGGCTTCTTTTTGCTAACCTCTTTCATCCTGAGGAAAGCATGTACAACTATCTGTAGGATGTCCTTCATTTCTGTTGAATTCTCCATTGCAACATTGATTATGGTGATATCACTCAGCCCCACAACAAGTGTTGCAAGCTCATTGTCGTGCTCATGGCTTTGGTCCAGTTGTGCGAGCTCTGGTGACTTTAAGCCCTCAGTGTCAATGATCACCATGAAGTCACAGTTGAAGTCTTTTCTGACATCTTCATTGATTTTAATCAGCAACATGAAGGCACCTCGAGTGCATCGACCACTGCTGACTGCAAACTGCACTCCAAACATGGTGTTGAGGAGAGTGGACTTTCCTGTGCTCTGAACTCCAAGAACTGTGACTACTAGGATCTTGTTCTTAGGAGACACCAAGTCATTGAGCTGAGAGAGAACGTCAGTCACCCATCCGATAGGTATGTTGGATGCTTCTCCATCTACAAGCTCAAGTGGAAATCCAGCAAGCATTAACTCAGCACATAGCTTTGGGAGATGCTGTAGTTGTTGACGTGCTGGCTCTGTTTCAGGAAGGGAAAGGGAAGCTTCATAGATCTGCCCCATTTCACGGAAGAAGTGTTCAGTCCCTAATGAGCTGTTGGAAAGTTGTTGATCAATCTCCTTTATCTCCTCTTTGTTCTCAGAGTTTTTGCATTTTTCTTTGTACTGCTCCCTGAGGTCACACAGTTTTTCTCGAGACACGTTATCGAGGTTCATTCTCAACCATTTCAGGAAATAGCACCTCTCCATCCCTGGGCTTGAAATTGCCTTAATGAAACATGTCATTGCCTTTGACCCGTCAAAAGAGTTCTGTTTTTTCCTAAGTTGTTTTTTCTGTTGCTGAAGATCACTTTTGTACTTTTCTATATTTTCAGACCCAACTTTCCGAAGCCGGAATTCTTCTTTCTCCAAGCGAGTAAGGTCCTTCCATATTTGGCCTTGCAAGGGAAGCTGAACTTCTTTGTATTTAAGAATGTCTTGAATTTCTGCAGTGATAGCATCTGCGTTCTTCTTGCCGTTCTGGCACTCTGGAGAGTCTTCATCCACCCAGATTCCTAGTTCATGGGCAATGTCAGACATCTTCTCTATTCCCATCTTCATCTTTGAGTTTTGAATTACATTGCTGATTTTTTTACGCAAAATGTTAACAAATTCTGCATCATTCATGCGCTTAGTCTTCAAAAGGATGTTGCTGTCAGTTAAGACCAACTTGTTTTTTACCTTTTTTACAGAATCTACACTGAAACCCTGGTTTTGACGGTTACCCACCAAGAAGATCTGGGCCTTGTGGTTTTGGTTGGTTAGCAGCTCACACTCAGAGTCCAAAGCATCAAAGAACACAAAAACTGCTGCAGATGTCTGACACAAGAAAGCAAATTGTGTTTCAAATGAAGCAATGTCCCCACGAAGGTTAGCTACAGCAACTGGCTCACTGAAGACATCCATGTTTTCGTTCCCACAAGGAAGGTACCAAGTCATTTCAACCAATCCATTGGATATTCTCCTTGGACTGTCCCCACCCTCCATGTTGGAGTGAACAAATGTGTCATGGTACTGCTGAGAATTGCTCAGAAGCTTATTGAGGATCTCTGACTTGGACAAGGAGCACTCACCCAGTCTCACAAAAGATATCATTGGAAGTTCAGAGACAACAATTCTCTCTTCAATAAATCCCTTGGATTCTGAAAGTGACGGAGGTCTGTACTTTTTAACAATGTCTCTCATGGCCCAAAGCATGAGTGTACACTGCTTTGTGTCACAGTTGGGAAGCAACAGAGGCACGGAAAACTGACACATGGACATTTTGAGGGCCATTTCCTGCTGAACAAAACCATCAGAGCACAGGAAGAGAGCAGTGACAATGTCAAGGGGATTCAGTATGTCACCTGAAATTGAACTTTCATCTAAATTATCAAGATCATATGTGTGATCATCATGTGAAATTGGACATTTCACATTCCTAGCTGTCACGTTAACCATCATTAGTTTCTTCAGAAAATACCATGGAAGATCTGAATTACACTTGGCCGGTTCATCAGTAATGGTCTTCTCTTCAATCCTGAGAAGTGTGATTAGGGATAGCTTCTCTTTGTAGTGGTGATCCAACCCCAGTTCTTCCAAAAAGCTCTCTAGGTGTGTCTCTGTAGAAAATATAAGGAATCATATAAAAACAATATTGGTTATTTAACCATTCCTCATCATGGATGATTTTTTTTTATTACATTTTACAATTGGCCAAAAACGATGACTACGTTGGTCAGTCAGTAAACTGCTTGTCTAATCGCAGCCTGCTAAATAATTGTTGGTTAACACTTATGGCGCGTTTCCACTGCAGCGGGTAGCCCCGTTTAAGCGTCCTTAACCGTCCTCAAGCGGCCAGGCCGGTTTTTGGTGGCGTTTCCATATAGCCTATTACCGGCCAGCGGGTACTTTTTCCCTCTTTTTCCGGCCTCATAAAATCGTGGTTCCCTCAGACCAGGGCCAGGGCTGAACTAGTGACGTCAACACTCTCGACTGCTGATTGGTCAGAGAGAATCGTCACAAGATCGCGCGCGAGTTCATTCCTAGCGTCGCATATATATTTAGAAGCAAGCTTGCAGCATTTTTATAAACAGCATTTTGTAAACGGATGAGCTACAAAAATGGCTACGTCTAATAAGAAAAGCACACCGTGGTCGACCGAGGAGGTGACGACGTTCCTACATCTCATTGGGGATGATCAAATCCAGCGGGAGCTCGACGGAACAACTCGAAATGTGAACAAAAACAAAGCCGATCGCCCCGCCTACACTGCGTTGCTACCCCAGGTCCTAAACTGCAATGGAAATGCGCCACGGCCTGGGCCGGCCAGCGAGGCAGCCCGAGGCCAGGGCGAGGACGCTTAGGGACGCTTAAACGGGGCTACCCCGCTGCAGTGGAAACGCGCCATTAGATGCCCGAGTGACTGGACCCTACACTCTTCCATAAGTGGGTCTAAAAGGACCCGTATTAGAATAATATGTGTTTTTATGCCATTTTTGTCATTTTGGTTAAGACTCATCTCGTCTCCTCTTGTCTACTCATAGCCCCCCCCCCCATCAATCCATGCCAGTTGATCAAGTTTGATAGTCCTATACCCCCCACGCTAACCTTCCCTTATATTGTAAAGCGATTTTGAGTCCTTGAAAAGCCCTATACAAATATAATGTATTATTATTATTATACTGACAGGTATCAGATCTTGCTGTGTAAAATAATCTTCCTGAGAGGTGTCACTTGTGATGTAGTCTGTGTGGTCTACAGTGAATGTATTCCTGACAGCCACAGGTGATAAGAATCAAAGGTTCCCATAGGATCCCATAGAAAATGCATGCGGGTCATTTTTTACCCACTTATGGAAGCTTGGGGTAGTAATACAAAAACTACAATTTCTTAAAATTTTAATTTTAAATTTGAATGGCATGATATCCAAAACATGTTTTTTGAGGAATAGCTGGAATGTGAAATGATAAAAAAATGTAATTACAAAGATACTTCAAGAAAACCACCTCACCGGGTCCAAAAAGACCCACTTATGCATCTAAGGGTAAGGACCTTAAAGAGTTGGATAGAAACATTTCTTTGTATCAGACTACAGCAGGTTGATGAAAATGTTCTTTGTACTGAAGTTGGACATTGGCATTATTCATAGGTGATAATTGAATGAAACTCAGAAATGGTGTTGTCATGATCAATCATATTAATTAACAGCAGAATTGCATATCCTGTGACGCACACATGGGAGGGCAGAAAACGAAAGTTACGTTTATGTAACTACGGTTCTATGAATCCTGGATGACCACCAGAGGCAGTGCTTAGCACTGGATATCTTCTGTCTCGCGCATGCGCAGGTCGAGTATTTATGTCAACAAAGTCACGTGTGACCTCGCATGACCCCGGAAAGCATAAGTTCAGGTGTTGTCAACTAGTTCAATCCTATGGAATCTTCTCGCGGGAACACGAGATTCCGAGTGACTAAGAACTCTGGCTGTCCTCCAGGATTCATAGAACCGTAGTTACACGTAACTTTAATTCTATTTTATCCTTACTGACCGCCAGAGGCAGTGCTTAGCTCTGGATGACTTATATCAACAAAGTCACAAGGAAACCTGAGTACCCACCTTATAGTGATGGACTAGGTGCACTCTGCAGGAGGACAACACCCAACGGGTGAGGGGCAGCAACATTCACTCTGTAGTATCTGGCGAATGTGCTCGGGGATGCCCATGTGGCCACGGCACATATATCCTCCAGGGGCACACCTCTCAAGGTCGCCCATGACGTGGAGACACTCCTGGTAGAGTGGCACTTTACTCTGGGTGGTAAGGGACGGTCATTCGCCCTGTATGCCTGAGCATTGAAGTCTACGATCCAGTGGGACAGGCGCTGCTTTGAGAAGCTGGAGGATGTCGTCCAGGTGCTGAGCAGATGGATATGCCCGCATAGTGACTGTGTCCAGAGCCACACCAATGAGAGGCTCTGAAAGGGGTTCAGACATCTCTTCTCCAAGTTCACCCTGAGGCATAGCTGGGCGACGTGAGAGAGAATGAGAGCCGTGTCCTGGGTTGACTGCAACCGGGATGGTGCACAAATCAATCAGTCGTCTAAGTATGGTAGAATCCTCATGCCCTGAGACTGCAGGGGCAAGAGGGATGCCGCGACACACCTGGTGAACACTGTGAGATGGGGTCCACAGGTTCGATTGCACCCTTGGCAAGGAGGACTGACAGCTCAGGGCTAATTATTTTGCCGGGTCGCTTATGCTGGTCATTTTGACCCGGCTGAAGGCTGGGGGCTGGCGTCAGAACGGCCTGTGGAGGACGATTAGGCACCGAAGGCCGAGGCTGCCTGGGGGAAAGTTAGCAGGACCGTGATGGTAGCGGGCCGGCCTTCTCGTGGGACGCTGAGGCCCTAGGTGGGCACAGGGGTGAGCCGGTGGATGGGAGCAGCCTCGGAGGCAGACGCGGAACCCCTAGGCCTACCCGGGTGGGGCATGTCTCTGCGAAGAGCTGAGAACTGTTGCCTGGTCTGACTAGCTTGGACAGTCCGTTCGAGCACCTGTAAGGCAGCTGAACCGAACAGCTCCCCCGGCTCCACTGGGACAGTACGGAGGGTCCTCCTACATGCCTCTGACAAGGGTGACTGTGCCAGCCAAACCTGGCGACGAGTCTGGACGAGAGTGGACATCAGGTGCCCAAGCTCTCTTGACATCAGAGCGAACGCTTGTAATGAGGCGTCACTGAGGCTGGTAGAGGAAGCGCTGAGAGCATCCTGCTGCCGGGAAGCTGAGAGGGCGAGCATGAGAGAGGGAATTGCCTATACGGCCCATGTGCACCGCTGTATCATAAGCCTTAGTGAGCAGGTCATCAGTGACCCGACATTGGGGTTGAGGGCACTTTGCATCTGACCTCAGAGCTTCGTCAGGGGAAACTATGAGGGAAGCAATGGTAGGCTCAACAGCCGGGCATGTGGTCAAGACCACATTTTGCCGCATCCTACATGGCTGCCAGGGCTCGGCTATCAGAAGTAAGACGGGAAAGAGCCTTAGTTTCCCTCCAGCATGCATGTAACTCCCTCAGATATTCACCAGAGGGAAGAACGGTAAAGGTGGCGGGTGCCAGAGTGCGCCTGAAGAAAACACTGGCAGGCGTTGTTTCTGGCTGCCGTACATCCAGCTGCAGGCGAGCCAGTGCCATGGGAATGACGACACCCATGGAGCCGTCATCTGCCCCTTCCGAGGATCCACGAGCTGAGGAACAGGAGCCTGGCCCAGAAGCATGGGATAGGCCCTCCTCGTCGTACTCATTCAAATTAGTGGCTGAAGCTGCCATCGAGACAATGTCTTCCTCTGGAACCAGCTCAGCCATAGGTGAATTGGGTGCAGCGGCATGCTCTGTACGGGCACCAGAATGGAGAGCAAGGATGATTGACTTCATCTGGGCTAGCTCAGTAGTTAGCAGGTCCACCCTAGAGGACAGCTTATCAGACTAAGTCCTCTTCTTGGTCGGAACACCTGCAGCCTCTGCGGCCCGACGCCTAGGATGGGTAGGTTGGGCTGGAGTCGACTGTCCAGAGGGAAGGCCAACCTCAGTCAGTAGCTCCACCTCAGCCAGTCTGGCAGCTCTCACCGCACGAGGCATGATGGTGCAATTCATGCACGGGTCCTCCAAAAGGCCCTCCCTCAGATGCTCGAGGCCAAGACAAGAGGGGCAAAGGTCATGGCCATGCTCTGGTTGAAGAGGAGCCATACAGGTGTTACAGCCGGGAGAGTTAAACATAGTGACAGCTCCAATGAAAACGCCACACTAGTTGCTGCGGGCAGCTTAAGTCATTCTGAGCGAGAGCACTCCGCTGACTGTAAATAACCGGGCCAGGAAACAATATATGCAGTGAGAGGGGAGTGAGGGCACTCTCTTCACTAGCACAATAGTAGTTACCGTGAGCATGAGCGTGAGCACTCTGATAACTGGGGTAAGAAAACAAGTCAGGTAACAGTATATATGCAGTGAGAGGGGAGCGAGAACACTCTCTTTACTAGCGCAGTAGCAAGTTAGCTTTGAGCAAGAGCACTCTGCTAACTGAGGGATAGAACAGGTAAGGAAACAAATATATGCAGTGAGAGGGGAGCGAGGACACTCTTCACTAGCGCAGTAGCAAGTTAGCTTTGAGTAAGAGCACTCTGCTAACTCAGGGATGGAACAGATAAGGAACCAATTGTTTGCAGTGAGAGGGGAGCAGAACTCTCTCTTCACTAGCACAGTAGCAAGTTAGCTTTGAGCGAGAGCACTCTGCTAACTGGGGGATGGAACAATTACCTATAAGCTTGAGTTATGTATAAGCCTGAGGTATAGATAACAATCAGCAGTGCTAGCGGCCGAACAGGTTAGTCTAGTCGAGAGCAACCTACTAACGTTTATTTTTTTGTATACTTTTTCTCAGCGATCTGAAAAAAATGTATGTATGCGGCATCAGCCAATTACTGCTACTGTCCAGCCAAGGACAAAACAGTCACTGTATAGGGAAACAATATATACACAGTCTTAATTATCGGCAGAACTCTTAATAGCGTGCAGTAGAGTTTACAAAGCTACAGTGAGGAGGAGCGGGACACTGTCCTCACTGGCACAGAACGTTGCCGATATCAGCAAACACCGAGCGCACATGCTCTTGTTAGCATAGCACAAATTAGCTCGGGCAATAGCCCTCTGCTAACCGTGAATTTATAGTGGTTTGCAGGAAACCCTGTGAGCACTATCAGAATTAAATGGTAGTGATCTCACTGACTGAGGTCCGCCGGTCCGGGGCTCCTGAGGGTCTGAACGGCGAACACCGTGATTCCCTCCCTTGGGAGGAACAGCTCGTCGCAGCCTTCGGATGGCAAGTCGCGTTTAACCCGCAGCTCCGACCGACGAGATCACAACGCTACAGATACCGATGAGCTTTTGAATAATACACCGGAACTTATGCTTTCCGGGGTCATGCAAGGTCACACGTGACTTTGTTGACATAAATACTCAACATGAAGATATCCAGTGCCAAGCATTGCCTCTGGCGGTCAGTAAGGATGAAATAGAACTGTATAAATATGCTGGAGACCCATGACAGGTCAACTATTCTGATCTTAATTGAACTATTACGCATTTCAATATAATTGTAACCAATACTGAAAGAAGTACTCGGTAAATATTGATACCAAAGTGTAGAAATGACCAGGAAGTAAAAGTACAAAAGTGTGTACCAGAACTAAAGGTTGCACTAGGCTCATCTCAATTGAATATTTCACCTCCTCCTTTCCCTCACTGGCGTCCCTTCCTTGCGTCTTAGCTCCGCCTCCGTAAGACGCAAGTGAGAGACGCTAGGACAGGGAAGTCCTCAGGTATTAATTGGGATGTCCTCGTTCACTCCAGCATCACCATAAACAACGCCCTTTACTTCTGGTGCGTGCAGTTTTATCACCTGTCACTGGAATTACCTCCACATAAATCCCTTCAAACCTGGGATTTAGTTTCTCATTGAAATGATTTCGTCCATCTCTTCCATTCATCTCTTTTATTATAGTTTTGTATGTATTATTTTCGGTTCTGTATTTTTTTTACAGGTATAACATTTCATTGAAGTTATAATTATAATCATAACAATAATAATAATTGATGGATTAATTCCCTTATGGTATTTGAGCATGTTTCGGATCAACTTTTGTATTGGATGTTGTTATTTAAATTGTCCAACAGAAGAGAGACACAAATCACTAAAATATGTATTAAATATGCTACCCGTATTTGTATATATCCTAAATGTCTGACTTTCACTTGCATCAAAAACCACAAGTAAGAACTGTAAGTTATTATTTTATAATCAAAACATTATTATTGAATTTGTAAGTATATTTCACACACTTTAATGTTTTTATAGAGTATGATCTCCTCATTCGTTTAAGAGATTTCATATATTTTACTCTTAATGAAGCACTTTAAACATTTAATGACTGATCTAACGGTAAGATCAGCTGCAGTGAGCAGAGGCTGTGAAGGTGGGGGCGGGGCCTATATACGCGAGTAGTGAAAACACTTCTGCGTAGTCTGCTCTCGTGTATCCTCCCTTTCGTCTCCTCTGGAAGCTTCCTCCCTCACCCCTCCTCGACTCCTCCGTGTGCATTTCAGCAATTGGGACGTCCTTCAACATGGCGTGTCTTGATCGATTTCCGGGTCTAGCTTTCACTCTTGCAATCCTGTGCAATAAACTTGCAATGTGCAATATAAATACTATCTTCAATTTGTATCTATGTCACTTAGTTTCCTCAAATTGCTGCTACTCGTTTTTTAGCTATGGTTGTGTATCTATTTGTATGTGATTACTAAGGTATGCTTTAGTTTTGATTATTTCATGTCTCTTTTTTTATCTGCTATTCAACTTTTGCAGAACTTCTTTATCCTCTGAGGATGAAGTTGCTCTGTTCCAGCATTTTAGATCGATTTCAATTGTATCTGACTTTCTTTATTACTTTATTAAATAGAAAAATAGACAAACTTGTTTATTAATCATTTATCAGTTTCTCTTAACGGAATTGAAATGCCCACCACAATGTAATCTGCATTTTTTCGGCAGTCTCTAAACTCTGAAAGGTCTTTATCAACCCAGAAGCTTGTTCACTCAAAGCCATCTGCTCAATTCCAATCTTCATCTTTGGGTCAACATCTTTGACATTGTCTTTATCAACCGTGCAATAATGATTTTATTTGACTTACTTGTGTTGGCAGACGTTACAGTTGGCCTGCTTATTCTTCCATTCCGAAGTTTTGTAGAAACCTCTAGAAAGTAAGACTCCCCTGGCTTCAGGTTGCTGAATGTCATCTTGTTTGTGTCAGTTGTCTCTTTCATAATGTCTCCGTCACTGCAACAAGTCACAATGTAACTCTCCACTTCACCAGCAGGGGGGTCCCAATGCAGAGACAGTGACTCGCTGCTGACCTGGTCGACTGTAATCTGCACAGGAGGGCTGGGCTCTATGGGAACATACAAAGGTTTCACTGAAACTGAAAATTCATATTCTGTCAATGTTTGTCTGCATTCTAAAGTGCAAGTAAAATAGTTGTAGTGACCCTTATTTGTCTGAAAGTAACTTTTAACAGACATTTCGTAGATTTGTTCAGGAAGTGATCCAAAAGATTCAGAAAACACTTGTTTTTCTGATTTACCTGTGAAGACAGATAGCGAGGTTGCTTTGCTTTGATTTCCATTGTCTGCAATCCTTGTGATGCTGAAGGTATACTCAGTGCCAGGTATCAGTCCATCAACCTTCACAGGGCTGGAGTCATCAACAGTCAAACTGCCGCTGTGTGTTTCACAGGAGTAATCTAACTGTAGTCTAAACCCAGCAGAGTTTTCAGTGGGTGGAAAGCCAAGAGAAACTGTGTCCTGGTCAGAATCAACAACTGTTACTTCCCCTGGTGGAGGAACATCTGTCATAAGAGAAGAAAAGTACATCTCAGTACCTTCTCATAACGCTGCGTATTCGTTACATTAGATCAGTTATTGACAGTCACACTTACGTTCGGACTCTGGTGCTGCTGAACTTGCTCTGTTCCAGCATTTTAAATCGATTTCAATTGTATCTGACTTTCTTTATTACTTTATTAAATATAAAAATACACAAGCTTGTTTATTAATCATTTATCAGTTTCTCTTAACGGAATTGAAATGCCCACCACAATGTAATCTGCATTTTTCTCGGCAGTCTCTAAACTCTGAAAGGTCTTTATTAACCCAGAAGCTTGTTCACTCAAAGCCATCTGCTCAATTCCAATCTTCATCTTTGGGTCAACATCTTTGACATTGTATTTATCAACCGGGCAATAATGATTTTATTTGACTTACTTGTGTTGGCAGATGTTACAGTTGGCCTGCTTATTCTTCCATTCCGAAGTTTTGTAGAAACCTCTAGAAAGTAAGACTCCCCTGGCTTCAGGTTGCTGAATGTCATCTTGTTTGTGTCAGTTGTCTCTTTCATAATGTCTCCGTCACTGCAACAAGTCACAATGTAACTCTCCACTTCACCAGCAGGGGGGTCCCAATGCAGAGACAGTGACTCGCTGCTGACCTGGTCGACTGTAATCTGCACAGGAGGGCTGGGCTCTATGGGAACATATAAAGGTTTCACTGAAACTGAAAATTCATATTCTGTCAATGTTTGTCTGCATTCTAAAGTGCAAGTAAAATAGTTGTAGTGACCCTTATTTGTCTGAAAGTAACTTTTAACAGACATTTCGTAGATTTGTTCAGGAAGTGATCCAAAAGATTCAGAAAACACTTGTTTTTTCTGATTTACCTGTGAAGACAGATAGCGAGGTTGCTTTGCTTTGATTTCCATTGTCTGCAATCCTTGTGATGCTGAAGGTATACTCAGTGCCAGGTATCAGTCCATCAACCTTCACAGGGCTGGAGTCATCAACAGTCAAACTGCCGCTGTGTGTTTCACAGGAGTAATCTAACTGTAGTCTAAACCCAGCAGAGTTTTCAGTGGGTGGAAAGCCAAGAGAAACTGTGTCCTGGTCAGAATCAACAACTGTTACTTCCCCTGGTGGAGGAACATCTGTCATAAGAGAAGAAAAGTACATCTCAGTACCTTCTCATAACGCTGCGTATTCGTTACATTAGATCAGTTATTGACAGTCACACTTACGTTCGGACTCTGGTGCTGCTGAACTTGCTCTGTTCCAGCATTTTAAATCGATTTCAATTGTATCTGACTTTCTTTATTACTTTATTAAATATAAAAATACACAAGCTTGTTTATTAATCATTTATCAGTTTCTCTTAACGGAATTGAAATGCCCACCACAATGTAATCTGCGTTTTTCTCGGCAGTCTCTAAACTCTGAAAGGTCTTTATCAACCCAGAAGCTTGTTCACTCAAAGCCATCTGCTCGATTCCAATCTTCATCTTTGGGTCAACATCTTTGACATTGTCTTTATCAACCGTGCAATAATGATTTTATTTGACTTACTTGTGTTGGCAGATGTTACAGTTGGCCTGCTTATTCTTCCATTCCGAAGTTTTGTAGAAACCTCTAGAAAGTAAGACTCCCCTGGCTTCAGGTTGCTGAATGTCATCTTGTTTGTGTCAGTTGTCTCTTTCATAATGTCTCCCTCACTGCAACAAGTCACAATGTAACTCTCCACTTCACCAGCAGGGGGGTCCCAATGCAGAGACAGTGACTCGCTGCTGACCTGGTCGACTGTAATCTGCACAGGAGGGCTGGGCTCTATGGGAACATATAAAGGTTTCACTGAAACTGAAAATTCATATTCTGTCAATGTTTGTCTGCATTCTAAAGTGCAAGTAAAATAGTTGTAGTGACCCTTATTTGTCTGAAAGTAACTTTTAACTGACATTTCGTAGATTTGTTCAGGAAGTGATCCGAAAGATTCAGAAAACACTTGTTTTTCTGATTTACCTGTGAAGACAGATAGCGAGGTTGCTTTGCTTTGATTTCCATTGTCTGCAATCCTTGTGATGCTGAAGGTATACTCAGTGCCAGGTATCAGTCCATCAACCTTCACAGGGCTGGAGTCATCAACAGTCAAACTGCCGCTGTGTGATTCACAGGAGTAATCTAACTGTAGTCTAAACCCAGCAGAGTTTTCAGTGGGTGGAAAGCCAAGAGAAACTGTGTCCTGGTCAGAATCAACAACTGTTACTTCCCCTGGTGGAGGAACATCTGTCATAAGAGAAGAAAAGTACATCTCAGTACCTTCTCATAACGCTGCGTTACACCTAGTGTCAGCAGAATTCAAATAAGAATTTTTTTAAAATGCAAAAAAAGACATCTTAAAATATATTTTAAGATCATGTTTAATCATCTGATTTGTCTGTACATTTTTGGTTTAGTCTGTGTTCTAGCCCCTCTCTCTCACTGTCTAAGTGAATGGTTGCTGTAAAAACTACACTGCGCATGCTCAGAGTATTTTTCTATTCAATGTGTGCGGCAAAAAATAATCACCATAGGGGCACTGTGCTGACATACCTACCAAACGTCATCTCATAATTCAGAGAGCTGATTGGCTGTAAGTACGTGTGTAAGTAAGTGTAGTTTTCACCCTGTAGTGAAGAGTAGACGAGAGAGAGCAGCGTATAGCGATTAAAATCAGTAAAACGGAAAGAAAATGAATGAAGTTGACCATTTACTTCAGCTTTGGTAAGTTCATTTTATGTCATATCTCTTGTTGATCTTCTTTGTTTTGCCTATAGGCTATTGCTCTGTTGGATCGATTGATATTGTGACCTCTGTAATGATTGTCTGTGTTGTCCTTATACCCGGACCGCCTACCCCCCCCTCTCTATCGGAACCATGGATAGCCTACAGCTATTTGTTTACGTGTTTAAAAAAGCACCAGAAGCTTATATATACACATCTACAGTAAGTTGTTCGTGCCCCACCACTTTTGTACATATAAAAACGCCACTGGTTACATTAGATCAGTTATTGACAGTCACACTTACGTTCGGACTCTGGTGCTGCTCGAGTGTTCTTTCCTTCCTCACAGCACGGGTCAGGGAAGGGATCTGATACATCATAATATTCCTTGGTAATAAGAAAAATATGTTTTAATTGAAATAGTAATGAGTTCATTAATCATACCTTATTCACAATAGTGTATATGACAACATTTATTTGTCCTGTAATGTTTTAGTTATTTAATTGTTTACCTCCTCATGAGAGCTATCCATTGCTGATACACTCTCAGCCATCCCACACTCTCCAGATTATTCAAACAGCTTCTCACTGAAAACATTGAAAAGAATCCTGTAACACCATTTTCTACTCAAACAACTATGTAACACAAAAATCATGGAGAAAAAAAACAATCAGCAGACTATATGAGCCATGAAGGAAAGATTCAATATGATGAGTTAGGAACAGGCTGGACTCTGACCCAGCCCAACCCACAACAATTCGTTCCATGCAGCGGTGTAGTGCTATTGGTTTAAGTACCTGTGTCAGCTGACTCTTGCATTCGTGCATGTGCACACAGCCAGAATCAACACAATAGGAAAGTCAGTAAACCAGTTTGAATAGTTCTATGACTCATTGTGGGTGATTCTTACAGTATCTGCTACCCACACCTTCACGTCATGAATCCCTGTATCATGTGAAGGCAGGAAGAATGATAAACCTTATGTTAAATATTAGCGAAGATATATTTTACTAGTAAGTTAAAGGTGGGGTAGGTAATTTTGGAGAAACCAGCTCGAGTGCCGAATTTGAAAATACACAGCCGGAAGAAATCTGCTACTTCCTTACAGAGCCCCTCCTCCAACACACACGAACGCGCTCATGACCAATGAGGGCACGAGATAAGTTTGTGCACAGATGGAAGGCTGACAGGTAGGTAGGCCATCCAGTTATTTTAGCCGGGCCGGCTCAGATGATTGGTCGTGCTTTTTACAGCACTACGGCTTCCACAGATGACATTTTTTATGGATTTTTTGTCAAAGCATTTAAGATATCCATTGCTATCGGGATGTTAAGAGCATTCCATGGAATATAACAAAAAGTGTATCTCGAGCCGGTTTCTCAAACTTACCTACCCCACCTTTAAAACCACACGTTTGAATTAGCACCATTGCCTCTTAGTATGCAACCTAAATGATAATGTTAAATTAAAGGAACAACATATATATAATTCATATAAAATGTAAATATATTATTAAACATATTCATTCATACGTGCACGCCGTCAGGTGTTATGCCCGCCGAGACATGCATGCACCCAGGGGCGGACTGGGACAAAAAAAATCAGCCCGTGAAACTCGACCGGTGTTGTGCCATATAGGTTGAAGCATTATATGATGAATTGGAAATGGGGGACCCTGATGTAAACAAGACGAAAGTCTTTCTCTGGTCTGCATCCCCTTAACAATTGTATGTTTTGAGCTGTACTGTACTGTACCCAATATACAAGCTGTTAATAAACTTTTCAATCAATCAATCAATCAGTCTATATGGCGCTGGGTTGAAGGTTTGCCGTAGATGGAAAGCCCTGTTCGCAGGGACGCGCAAAGGTGACGTCATCGCGTGTATTGAGCTTCGCCTAGTTTTCTAAGCTTTTTCTCTCTTTTGAATGATATATTTCCCATCAGATTAAACAGCAAACGGCTGAATAAATAATGTGCATACAATTGCGAGGTTGCTCGTTTTAAGGACACAATTTTCGTATTGGAACAAACTTCCGTTTTTAAGTGTACTCCACTCTGTTATGTTCCTCCTTCCTACAGAACAGACAATGAAAGGATAAGATGTAATTTGTCAGTATAGTCCTATTTCTTAAAATCTTCTCTGTTGTTTAAGTTCTGATACTTGATAGGCTACTCCCAATTTTCTGATAGGCCTACTTGATACTCCCGATTTTCGCGGGAGACTCCCGATTTCATAGCCCTCTCCCGATTTCCTCCCGGGGTCATATTTCTCCCGCATTTCTCCCGATTTCTGACAAAATCAGATTTACTAAGGACTGTTTCCACTCGGACTTTAATACAGCTACACCATTGTTTGGTTTCCATGGTAGCACGTCCCTTTAGTAACGCGCGCAACTGAAAGTCTGAGAGGGTGAGGAAGACAGTCACAGCAAACAGAGCAACTCGACCCTCTGCTGCTCACTCCTCAGCCCACACATATGCTCCGGCGATATCCACTAGCAGCAGCACCCCCCCCCCCCCCCCCCCCCCAGCAGCAGCACCCCCCCCCGCGGTTTTGTAATGCTCCCGATTTCTGAGGTCTCAACGTTGGCAAGTATGGACTACACTTAAAAACGGAAGTTTGTTCCAATACGAAAAGTGTGTCGTCACCTTTGCGCGTCCCCGCGAACAGGGCTTCTACGGCAAGCCTTCAACCTACGGCACAACACCGGCGGACCGGCCCAACTCGGTACCGCTAGTCAATTGTCAACGGGGGGGGGGGGGGGTACCGGAAAACTCCCGGTATTCCCATTGGCCAGTCCGTCCCTGCATGCACCTCGCGGGTGCGCGCACAGTGTAAAGCAAAAACGTCCAGACATTTCAATGATTTTTATGGCAAAGTACGGTTTGGAAACGATATAATTCTCTTTTTGGTTCATTAATGATGATAAATAATCTTAAATCTATAGTTTATGAACATTAAGAGTCATTCATATTTTATTTCCTTGATGATCGGTCTAAGTTTGCAAGGTTTATTTGAGTAATCTTTCATTATTTCTCAGGGCGAACTCTTTTGTGTTCTTTTCGCTGTGTTTTTAAGCATTTCAGACAGCTTTAATAAACTGTTATTCTAAAATGAGGTTTTTAAATGTGAAAAAAATAATGTAACATCCACTCTGTCAAATAAACTGCTGATAACACCATTTGATTCACAGTTTGATTTGAAGTGTCCTTACTCTAGGAACAAAGTTCAGGAGAAGCCCAAAATGAAAACTATTTAGGGCTCTTAAAGAGAGAAATTAAATAATAATTGACAAAGAAAGTTTTGCCTACCTTTGTTGATTAACCATGTTAGAAACGATACCTCTTCTTTTACCCCGGATTGTTTATCTACTGTAGGCTATATGCAATATTTTGTCGAGCCTATATCTGTCCTGAGTCAGGTTTGCATTTCTCTGGCGAATGCCAAACCTTTTCCAGGCATCTCCTTTTATATTCCGAGTACAGTAACTTTCTGTTTTGTTTCCCAGGAACGATTGTCTAGTTTCCAGTAAAGTGAAACTTATGGTTAGTCTCCTGCTTTTCCTCTAGGTAGAACAGAATACACACTAGTAGTACCTTATATGGCCTGCGGGATGGAGGTGTCAGCGCATGTGTCCAATACGGTCCAATATCACCCAAGTGTACAACAAGACGGTGTTGTGCCGTAGATTGAAGCCTTGCCGTAGATTGAAGCCCTGTTCGCGGGGACGCGCAAACGTGACGTCATCGCCTGTATTGAGCGTTCGTCTGGTTTAATACACTTTTTTCTCTCTTTTGAATGATATATTTCCCATCAGATTAAACAGCAAACGGCTGAATAAATAATGTGCATACAATTGCGAGGAGGCTCGTTTTAAGGACACTTTTCAGATAGTCACAATCTTCATATTGGAACAAACTTCCGTTTTTGAGTGCAGTCCCACTCTGTTATATTCCTCCTTCCTACAGAATAGACAATGACAGGATAATATGTCATTTGTCAGTATAGTCCTATTTCTTAAAACCTTCTCTGTTGTTTAAGTGTCTGATAACCACGAATATTAAGCAATTATATGACAGTAATGATATAACATATTTCAGACACTGTGTTATTTTCAAGCAAGCCTAAAAGATAATGTGTTCAAACTGGCTTCACTCGCTTTAATTGCTCCTTTGAATGTAATTTTCCTCTGTGGTTTCCTATTCAACACATGTTTGTATTGTAATGCCACTCATATTTTATTTTGTATTGTATTTTAAGGTGACATTGAATGCTTTGAAAGGTGCCCTAAAATAAAGTGTATTATTGATCTTATATCTGTGCCTATATCACACTATTAATGTTCCTTATTTTAGATCTGCACTGTTCTCTATAACATGTTCAGCAGAGCAGGTATTTCTCCTGCCAGATATGGCACCCCCCCCCTACAACTTTGTCCAGGACAGTCACAACTTCACCAAAATCACACTGGTGTTGCATGTTCCCCTCTAGTTTATGCTCACCAAAGCATTTTACTCTGG